CAGCCCCATCCAGACAGGTTGGAAACCATTCAGTGGAAATTCTACCTTCCCCCTCATCCTCTGGAATGAGGCTCCCTCTTGAAACCCTGTAAGCCAATCACTTTGTGCCTTTGTAGTCCCCCCATTTTGGGTAGCCAATGTCTAAATTGCCCATCCCTATCAACCCTGTGTACTGAGGGAGTGGGAGTGATCTTCGTTGTAAAGATTCGTTCGCTCTTGAACTACTATATCCTTAAGTATAGGTCAAGTTCATCAAATGGTAGCGAATTACTCTATTTTTCCCTCTTCTTTCTTCCTGTAGTCGAGGATCATCTAGCCACTGAAGCCAGGTCAAGTGGAAACTATGTGCATCTCCCCTCACTTCATATCAGCTGGATGCTTCACTCTCCGCTCTAGTCCTCTGTGGCCATGTCCCTGTCCCTGGGCTCAGGAGTCCCCAGGTCTTGCCATACTGCTGGCCAACCCACAGGGGGGATAGCTTTGATTCAAGATATAAAGAGTATCTCAGGGCAATATTCTTGGGGATTCCTCAGGTCTCAGTTGTGCCAGTAAGTCTGGAGTTTTTAAGAACTTGGAAGTTCTAGTCCAAGTATGAAAGTTCTGTTTTAGTATTATAACACTTTTTAAAAAGAAATTAATTTTGTTGAGAACATACACAGCAAAGCATACACCAATTCATGTGCCATTAGGGACATTGATTACATTCTTTAAGTTAAACAATTGTCACCCTCATTTTCTAAGTTGTTTCTACCTCATTAACATAAATTCACTGCCTCTTAAGATTCCTATCCAATTTTTGAAATTGCTGTTGTCAATTTGATCTTGTAAAGGAGTGCTGGTGTAATGCCATAGGGTAAGCACTTTACTGCTAATCCCAAGGTCAGCAGTTCAAACCAGCAGCTCCTTGGAAGCCCCATACAGGGTCACTGTGTATCAGAACCAACTTGACAGCACTTAACAACAGTGTTTAAGAACATTTTATCTAGTTAATCCTGCTGTGGTGCTGTAGGATAATGTACTGGACCACAAGGTTGGTTTGAACCACAAGGTTGGTGGCTCAAACTCACCAACCACTCCTTGGAAACCCTATGCAGGGTCACTATGCGTTGAAACCCACTTGACGGCACTTAATAACAAGCTAAACTGTTATTTAGTTTTAAGAAGACTTCAGGAGATATTTTTGATTTAAAGATTATCTCAGGGCAATAGCTTTAGGGTTTCATCCAACCTTCATGACTCCAGGAAGTCTGCAGGCCATGAAAATTTGAAATTCTGTTTTGCATTTTCCTCTTTTGATCTGGATTATTCTGTAGAATTTTTTATCAGAGTGTTCAGTATTAGTAATTAGGCACCATCCAGTTTTGATCTCATGGCAAAAGAGGCAGTTATTCATGGACAATTAATTACATATTCCATATCCTCCTATTCTAAATGCTCCTTCTTAACTCTGTTGCTTTGGTTGAATAGAGACTAATTACTAT